ATTCCCCATGAATCTCTGCCAGCTCCTCATTCTTCTCCACGTGGCTCCACTGAGCCACTCAGGCTCAGTGCTCTTCTTTGAACACATTCAGTTCTTTACACCTCACACTGGCTGTGCTGGGCCCTGTAAGTGACTCATTACTCCCCCAAGGCTTCGCTCGGCTCATTCTCACTTCCTCCACATGTTCAAGGAGAAATATTCATGGGCCTCCCACATGCCAGCCAACACTTTCCCATGGCCCACCACTTCTTATTCCCTTTCTATACTGTATCTTTTTAGCCAAGCTCCTCCCACATACATATTTCCATGTATATTGTCTATCTTTCTGCACTTCTTTGCAAGTTCTACGAGGACAGAGATGTTTTGTCCACTGCTGTGTCCCTGCATAGAACAAGTGCTCAATAAGTATTATTTGAATATCGTGATATCATGACTCCAAGAGTTTTTGCTTCATCGAAGCCAGAGAAGTCCATATATAAAATATTTAGGGAGCTCATTAATACTATAGTGATTTATGATCAGACAGCACAGGACAACAAAGGAAACACCAAAGTGAGTAATTTGGTCTTTTGTGACATTTTCAAGAATCTACACATCTAAATGTTATGCTTTGTGGTTTCCAGGCCAGGATGTGTTCTTGAAGAGCAGAATGGCTTAATTTGTAGACCCCAGAGTCAGACTCCTGAAGTCCAAATCTTGGCTGAGCTTCCTTTGATCTCTCTGTATCTGACACTGTCCACGTCTTGTTTCTGAGTGTTTCACTTCTCCTTGGTCATAGTCTAAATTCCCAAAGTTAAAATTCCAAGGGTTATTTGGTAGCTTAACAGTTAAAAATAATAGGTTTTATGGAAACTATGTTAGTGAGTGAATTTATTATATTTTTGGTTTGAGGTTTCTGGATGTATACATTTATAGATGATTTATTAAGTTTAAGTTTTCCTTAACTAGACTAATATAACCCAAACATACATTTGAATATGATAGACCTTTCCTTTGGCCATGAGACATAAGTGACTTTTAAGAAATCATACCCACAACATTTTAGAAGTAAATGTGAATGTCATGTGTGAAATATTTTACAACTATGAGGCTCAACATGGTAGCCACTCTCTACCTGAAAAAAAAAATACATTTAAATTATTGATATTAAACAAATTTTAAAGTTATGTTACTTGATTATATTATTCACACTTCAAATGTGCAGTAAGCAACAGGCAATCTGTGGCTACTACATTGGCTAATGTGACTATAGAACATTTTCGCAATCATGGAACATTGCCATTAAGTCTTATACAAACTGAATAAATTTATCAATGCAATTATCTTTTGAAAGACATAAATCAGCTTTGTACATGGCTAATGCCACTTTCCAGGTACATTCTAAATGCCTGGAGCTTGTCAACATTTTTTTCCAAGTCCAAAGATCACCCCTTAGCCCACTTCCATTTTCTCAGTGCCATGCTTTAACACTTTTATCCTATTAACCACTGAATCAGTAGGGTAGAAAATCTGACACTCAACCCACACAGGAGTCTCCTAGCTATGCTATCTGTCCTGAGAATATAACAAAGGAATACATTTCAGAAGCCTCTAATGTCTGAGTATCATAGTGTTTGAGAATTCAAAGCATCTTTAGAAACAATATGAAGGCAATTCTATTCCTCTCCTCCACTTCCAAGCTTGAGAGAATAGACTATTTTCATTGCCACAATCAATTACTCCTTCACCTCTTCTTGTCTGACATAGCGCAGGCACTGGGTCAGGCAGATCCCTGCCAAGGTAGATATTTAGGAAACTCAGACTCATGACTGCATGGGAAGTCTACTTAGTGGTGGTGTCAGAATTCACTTTCAAACTCATCAGGCTCAAGAGCTTGCATTTCTCACAGGTGACCAGGCTGTTGTCCACGGATTACTAGTCACAAGTACATCCTACACAGTGACCTTCAAAGTCACACTCAGTTACTCCTGCCCCCAGCATCCCTGCAGCAGGTCACCCATCAAAGTAAAGAAGGAATGAGAAGCGTTGGCTTAATGATATTTCCCAGGGTGGAGACTATTTAGACATTTTAAGAAGCTGTAGGAACTCTCTTGTAGGTCATTCTAAAGGTCACTGACTCATTGCCAACACCATCATTTCTTGGAAGTCATTTGTGCCCAGATGCACACAGGACTTACTATTCAGAAATCCCTCTCAGTTGTACACATTGAAATGTACAATAGGAAATTCTCTTAGACAATCTTTTGTGAGACTTAACTATGAATTGTATATGTGTAAACATTTTTAAAAAGACCACTGCCTTCAGAGAGCAGTTATATAATGAAGAGGAAAGGCAAATTGATACAATAGGATTGGTAGTCATTAAAAAGTCAACACTCTCCCTTCATTTATTTGTTTGCATTTGAATAAGTAACTTTTATGTGGACAAGGACAAAGAAAAGGAAGCTTTCTTATATTAAATTATCCTCAGAAGAAAATTTGATTTGAAGAACATTCGCAAATTGCAGTTACTCTGGGCTATCTTGCAGGCTTAGAAATGTTTTTATTATACTGATTTGGAATGTTAAGCAGATTTAACTTGGAGATTCTTTTAAGGATGGACTCTGCTCAAACGGGCCCCCTGTGTAATGGTTAGTGCTCTGGACTCTGAAAGTATTCTGTCATTGTCACACCAATTCTTACTAACGCTTGGCATTGTAATCTGAAGGTCTAGTAGCCAGACCAAGGCGCTGGTGATGGTGATAATCAGCAAGGAGCTCCATGTGGCCAATCATAGGCCTAACAGTGATTGACCACGAGACTGGAATCTCACCAGAAACGTGCAGATAGGTTCAGATGAAGGCAGATGTGAAAATAACTCACTGCTCTCTAACCTAATCTTATTTTGTGCCAAATCTAAACATCCAAACCACCTCTGGAAAGTCTTTTAAGACCATGCTGAGATAGTTTTCACCAAGATCCCCTTTTGTTCTGAATCAACCACTGGGTACCCGATGTACAACTTAGGGGGTTCAAAATCAGTGATCTTTCTGGGGTGACATAAAAAAGATGACTCAGAGCCAGCTCCAGAGGTGTCCTGAGCTGTTTACAAGTGGGAAGACTTTTCCTTGCCCTCCTCACATCCTGAGCCCTTCATCATCTGGTTGGCTGGAACCTGACTGTAGTGAGTCTCCTGGCTGTAGAGTGACTCACAATGTCATTTAAGTTTGTCAGTCAATGGAACCAGAGCTCCAAAGTCTCTCTCCAGGACTATCCCTGGGGAAGCTATTAGGGAGAAGGCTGCCTTGCCAGATATCTCAGTTCAGCTGGTCTAAGTGGCATGTACAGGAGTGTCTGCTTCCACTCAGGGGCTGGCACAAGGAAAGGACCCTTGAAGGGTGCTCTAGAAGGTTCACTATTTTTTCTTATCATCAACTACTAAGAAAGTCACAGGGAAACCAATGAGCACCTTGAAACATGAACAGGTAAAAAGACGTCTAATTTTCCTATTTCAACTGGGTCTGAGTTCACTCTGGTTCTAGAGGGCTGAATATCATGTAGCAGAAAGCATGTTATTTTGGGGAGTGGAGAATTTGCACTAAGTTTAAACCTAACATTTTCAATAACCTTACAGACACTAAGCTTCTTCATCTGTGAAATGGACAAAACAAATAACATCTGTTCTTGTTCTACCTCACCGATGGGTGACAGTAATGAGGATACCAGCACTCTGCAAACCATAAAGACAATGTCAGTGAATATCCTCTCTACCTCCAAGTATTGAAGTTGCAAAGTTCTCTCCCAAGATCCACTACTCTTTCCAAATCTCCATCCTGTAGGTCTTCCCAAAATGCTCATAGGTGTGCAGAGATCACCGCCAGTCCTTCAGGAAGCTGGGTGTGCCTGGCTTGGCCAGAGAGGTCTCCTATAATGTGCTAAACACTGTTACACATGAAATGTCCAACTAATCATCTATCTGGCCCTCCACTGGATTTTATCAGAAAACAAATATATGCTCTTTGTTCCAAAACTTGCTCCTTGTAGCTTCCCTGTCTGGTCAGAGGTGATGATGTGCATGATGTCCAGGCTTAATAAAGAGGCATTATCTTGGCCATTTCTCTCCATCTCTCCCAATCCTCTTTCCCACCCAATGAGCCACCATTTTTCCTTCTTACATTTTGGCATTCAACCAAGCTTGAAACTAAGTCCTGGCATGTTGCCTTAAGGAACTTTCTTTACCAGGCCAACACTGGGTGTCCTTATCTATGAAATGAGAATGTAGAAGTTGAAGGCCTGTTGTGAGGATTGAAAAAGATGTGTTCAAAATGGGAGTTTAGGACAAGAGGGGAAGGGAAAAGCACAAGAGACTATGGTGATGGTGCATGGGTGAATTGGTGGTGGGAATTTCACAGGGACTTTACCAGAGAGAAGCAGCAAATATTGTACAAAAATGAACAATGATGTAAAATATATCAACAGTAATAAAATTAAAAAGGTGTATATGCCCTGCATGGGCTATGCTAGCTTAGCTTCACCTTCTTCTAAACTGCATGTCTCACAGATAAATCCAAGACAGCCCAGCCTTTCCCCACTCTGACCTCCTTACTTCACCCCTTATTTCACTGAATTCTCTCTGTCTGCCACTGAAGTTCCTATGTTCCCTGCCTGGATCATTCTTCAAGTTCAACCTACCTTTGGCTTTGAAGAGTGATATCTATTTCCTGTGACCCATAAATGATTCCCATGCTTTATTTCTACAACCCAGGAGGTACTTAACATCACTACTGTGAAATCTGCCTTTGTATATATCATCTCTTCTCAGGAACTTCCATGTTTATCTTCCTTACACATACTATTTACTTAATAAATAGTTTTTAAGTGACTGAAAGGAACAATCAATCAATGAATCAACTATGAAGTCTGGACCTACCACGAGCAAATAGAAAGCAATTTGGAAGTGATAGAATGATTTAAACAAAGAAGAAGGCATTAAAGACACTTCACATTTTGTGTGCTGATTTTTTAATGAACATCTTATAATCTTACAAAATAACTGGCTGTAGCTGTTTTACATTACAATACAGTAGATCAGCTCCTTTCACTGTGTTCCCAATCAAGCCATCCACTTGGGGTGCTAACTGACAAACTCAATGGTGATCTCACAGAGCAGAGCAAGTGCCAAGTCATGCCTGACGATGGCGGAAGGAAAGGAGGCATCAGCTATAACTCTTCACTGCCTTGGACAGGTTTGCCAGCTGCCCATCCCCCTCACTCTGTCTTTAGGTCCTGCTGGTTGAAGAGGTCACAAGATTTACCCAAGTCAACTAGCCATGGGCAACCTGGCAGCAGTTGATTTAGTTACTAGGGAAAGGGAACCAGAAAGTGATTTTGGAGCATAGAAACAGAATGAAGTGCCTCTGGGAGAGGCTTCTCGACCTTGTGTGAGCAGCAGCAGCAGTGGAGGCAGCGAGGAGTGAGAGTGGCTAGCCACTGGGCGTGTGTGACCATGGCTAAGTCCTGTAACTTTATTAGTGACTCATCTAAGTCCTGTAACTTTATTAGTGACTCAAGGGACTCGTAGCACGAGATTCAGGGACAAGGGCTGGAGGAACCTGCCATCTTGGAATGGCCAGAACTGACTACAGCTGGGCAGTGTCTAGCCCCTGAGGCTTTTCAACTATCATGGAGCCATCTTTTCTTTCCCAGGGCAGTGGTGAGTTGCAAAGTTGCCAACAGAGAAAACATATTTTAAAATGAAGTATGAAAAGCAAATATTCTCACTGTTACTCCTCCGGCTAGTCTGAGCCCATACCCATACTGGCATGAACCACGGGGTCCATGTTTTTGTGGGGACTGTGACCCCCTGATGAAGCAAAGCATGGGATAACTATTCTACTGTCTCAGTGTCGGATGGGTCAGGGCTCCCCTACTAGGAGCTGGACTAGCTTCCAGGAACTTGGATACTCTCCCCTTGACAATAAGTTTACAGCTTTTTAAAATGGACAGTCTAGACTTTTCCAGTATCCTTTCCATATTGAAGCTTATCAGAAATGCCAGAAATAAATATTATTCTCTTCTTGGGGGCACTGTGAACCCAGACAGTGAATTATATCTAAATTATTATTTCCCTTGTGGTTAGGAATACAGTGAATAAGAGTGTTTGGGATGAGCAAACTCTGTTCTTTCCTGTGCCCACCAAGTCTTGCCACCTTCATTTCATGTCCCCACAGATAAATATGTATATATTCTCCTTTTCCTTTTTAACCGTTTTCAAAATACTGTTCTTTCCTACATGAAGTCTGGTTCAAGATTGTACTAGTCCCTCTTCCATTTTCAGTATCACTGACTTAGTGTTGCTGAGAATGCTAGGACTGTGTGCCCAGATTCTAATAGCACATGATTCAGGGGGCAGGATATGCTCTCATTTTTTCCTGCTCTCAACTCCACTGGAGAAGAAGCTCTTCCTGAGATGAAAAAAATGGAGGAGCTGAACAAGAAATTAGCTCTCGACTTTTCTTGCCATGAGATCTAATCCAGAAATTAACCAAAACACATGACTGTAATAGACCCCGTGAAGAAAGCATAAGCCTTGGACAAAAATAGAAGCAGGTTAATATGATCGGTTCCTGTACAGTTTGGCTACTGAAGAGCAAGAAAGAGTAAGGACTAGAGGACCCTAAATAACTGAAATTCTTCTCTCTCCCCACAGAGTGTCACCCTCGCTCCATGTGTTTCCATAAGCTTGCTTAAATTGAAAGCTGGATCACAAATTAGATACATCACTCTTGAATAGAATTTACCTCAGATTCTCCATTGTTCAAAGCATCCCCTTTGGTTGGCTTTGGAGAGCTGGAACAAATCTGAGTGTCTTTGACTCACTTCATCATCCTGCCCTGGGCCTGCCTGGAACTTACCTGACTGCTCCCTTCTCTACCACCTTTCTTGGCTTCTCCATCTGGCTTGTTCTTCCAACTCCTTCCATCTTCCCCCTATGTCATTTCTGTGACATTTTCCCCCACAAAGTTAACAATTGGTCATGTGGCTGGGATTGATGGCCAGGGTTGGGGACTTAGAAGTGAAACCACGGGCCAAGTATGAAGAACGTGTGAGTTTCTACAATCCTGGCAATCAGAGAATGAGCCCTAGTATGAACTTGTTGACTGGCTGGCTAAAAGCCATAGCTGGAATAAGCAGATATGGAACTATAAAAAACTCTGGGTCTTACCAACTGCAACTAGGAGTTTTGAGCAGTGAAGAGAAGATAACATAGTCTTTGGGGATGAATATTTAGGAACTATAGTTTTGTTTGCCTGGATATACCATCAATGGTTATTCCCAACTTTCCATGTCTCCTGGAGTTAGCATTCCATTCTCCTCAAAAGCCAGCTCCCTGCTTATAAAAAAAGATGACTAGCTCACATGTTAGCCTCAAGATCTTTATCTAATATCTCTTCTTTTCTTCTCAACTTTCTCCTCAACCTGCCAATTCCCTAGCAACAGAAAGATGGCAGAAGAACTTTCTTTTCTGTCCCCAAATCTTCAACATTCATTCTGGACGTGAACTTCACAGCAGCATATGTGGAACAATGGATAATTTTTAGGCTTAGTAGACAGCAAAAAATATAATATATATATATATTTATATAATTATGTTTAAATACTTACAAAGAATTAATAGCCTCATTGTTATTAAGGGGGACTACACAAAAGGAAGGGAGAGAGCCAGTTGAAGATCGATAAGCCCCAAAAGATGGCAACCCATTCAAAATGCGTAGCGACAGTGTCCCTGGCAACTTGCTTCTAGTATCTTGGTATTGGTTCACAAGTTGGCAGGGTGCAGGGAAGGGAATGGATCAATAGTTGAAATGTTGAAATAGAATATAAATGGGGGAGAAGGGTCCTTGCCTATCTAATATATTTCTTCTTCCATTTTTCATCAACTCTCTTTGAAGAAACTTTACCTATGAGTGTTGGGCTATTTGACATGATAGTTGGCACCTATAAACATCCTCCTGTATTTCTCCTAAGATCTTATGTGCTCTTCTTCCTTCCTTTATTTCACAACCTTTCTTCTTCATCCACCTTTGTTCCCCTCGAGCAGACCTCTCTCTTACTGCCTCCAGGGCAGTAAGGAGGGGCTTCAGCTCAGAATTACTGATTTTCTTCAGCCTTGGGATCTCGGCAGGTGCATTCATCTAGGTCACAGTCAGCAGCAAAAGGAATGACCTGGAGAATTAAAGAAAAGCCACCATCACCCATTTGTGTGTCAAGCTTCACACTTTTTAACCAGTTTTTGCTCTTCTCATTTGGTCCCAGAGGGAGAGTGGGGTAATGTACTACTATCACAGAACTGAAATTAACACCCAGTTCTCTCACACACGATGTCGCTTGGCAAGGCCACCTTCTCTTTCTTCATGTGTCAAATGGGGAAGCCAGAAGTAACTTCTCTAGAGGATATGTGTTTAGTTTAAAAAAGAAATTAGATATTTCTAGGTATGTCAACACCTCTTACCATTACTTCTAATGTTAATGCTAATGTCTACAACTACTGGTTGTCAATGTTTTTGCTATTGTTATCTTAAAAAATTCCGCATAATGTGGGTAAGATGAACATTAGCTTTTTTTTTTTTTACTTTTAGAGAAAGTCAAGAGAGATTGGATGATTCAACTCAGCCTGTATAAGATGACCATGGAGGTATGATTTTATTGTGGAGACATACACAACTAAGAAAATACCACTTCTTGCTTATTTTATGATCCATCCAATTGGCCAAGAGTCACCATATACCTTTGGAATACTAGTTTTTTTAATACTAGTTTTTTTTGCAAACATTAAACTATTAATATCTCTTCTAATTAACTGGAGCATAGAGCAATAATGATGAAGGGGATGGTGAAAGTTTCCAGGTATGGTCCAGGCAGTGCTCCAGGTAGACTGTGGTGGCCATTGACTATATGCCTGCAATATGCTTAGGATATACTTTATAGGATTCTGAGCTTAATTATGGAGATTAATAAAAACTGGATATCACTTCATTGGCTCTCCTGCTTTCCCAAGGTGAAGGTTATCATTTTCTTTCTACACAGATACCTTCTGGACAATGATAAACTGGCATGAATCTATCAGTAGTAAAAGCCATGGCTTTTTGGAAGGTGTTAACATACAGACAATTTAGAAATTGGTTTTGAATAACCTATCCTAAAAAAAGACTACCCTCAGTCCTGTTGCTTTGGAAGCTCTGATATTTGCTCATTACATTTCCCTCTCTTTGTTGAACAGAAGCCAGCTATGATATACCATGAAGGAGCAGGTGAAAGCACCTGCCTTTATTCCCAGCCTTGCTGCCCTCTCCCCATATCACAGGGGTCCCCGCTTACCTTCTTGGAGGAGAGTGTGGATGAGCAGCAGTCTCCCCCATCATAGTGACAATAGGCCCGGTTGTTGATCGTGTCACACCAACCATCTGCTTGGAAAGGCTGTAGGGAGTTTGGGGGTCAGTGTCAAAGTTCAGTGTGCCTCTCCCGTCTGTTCCCCACACTACCTAGCCCATGGGACTCAGGAGATTTGGGAAGGCACCTGAGGGGCAGGATACAAAGGGACTTAACCTTAGGAAGTTGAGAAATCTCCAGACTGTTGGCACTAAAGAGTTATCAGAGTTAACATGCAGCCTCTGCCCTGATCCTATACAGGGACGTGGTTCATCTAAATTCCTGGACCAACATTTTTATCTTCTAATAATCAGTCTGTATAGGTTAGGAAAGTGTTTCATATATTTTAACTCTGCTGAGCACAGGCTTGAAAAGTCCCATTTAATGAGTGAGGAAACAGACACACAGAGATGACAAAGCTGGTCAGGGGCATAGAGTAGCATCTAGCAGAGTTTGAGATTAAAATTCTTGTATCCTGACTATTTGCTGCTTCTCAGGTTAAGAACCATAACCTCCACTCCCTATCCTGGGTCTTGTTCTTAGAGATCACAGTGGCCCTGAAGGGCTAAAAATACTCAGATAATGTCTTCTCAGAATGCAGGGGCTAGGTCTGTGAAGTTGCGCTGGAACAGAATTAGCGGCACATGTCTAGCTGCCTCATACACAGCAGCTGGACACAAGGCTAGACCAGAGAACACTAAACCATCTCCATCCACTCCAACTTCTGCCGCAAGTTAACAGGAACCAGAATGGGAAAGAGGCCCAGGCCAAACCAGAGTGAATGGAGCATTTCACTCCAAAAGGGGATGCATGATAAGAACTGTAACAAGTGGTTAAAAACTAGCCTGTCAGTCCAATGTGCTGTTTTCCTATAACAACTCTGGAGAAAGTGTCCCACAACATCTTCGAGGGTGCTCAGCCAGTCCACCAACTCTGTCTCATTAGCGCTCCCATCCTGAGTGGGTGCCCAACTGCAAAGTCTCAGCCACAGCCAGTGTTCAAAGTCTTTGGGTCATAGACTGTTGGTAGACGCCAGCATTCTGAGCCCATCTTTCAGGTGACTCGTTCTAACTCTCTGCCTACTATCCTCCCTAAATGTCAAATACAAGGACGGTTGCCTATTTTATTGTGCTTTGATGAGACAGATCACTAACCTAAAAAATGAACATTAAATAATTTTTAGCAATTGAGTTACATCAGAATGAGCTCATCCAAGTTATTACTTCAATGTTTTGATTTATTCTATGGGGTCCTGAGGTCACTTGAACTCTGTTCCAGATCTATACCAGTTTGCCAACCACTGGAAAGCTGCTACTTGTGGGGTGGAACTCAACAGCTGTCCCACAGCTGCCTAACAATGTCAGTTGAGAGCGGGAAGTGAAAATGAATTCTGTTTTCAACACAGGCCTCCCTGGGATAAAACACAGAGATTTTGAGATGAGTATTGGGCTTTAAAACTACAGTCAGTTACTTTAACTCTGGAGAATTTGGAATAACCATACAACCAGTATTTGAATCCATGATTCTAGCCAAATAATAGGATCCAAACTGCAACTAGTTGTACCCTGAATATCTACAGAGGCTGCTGGGTCCTCCCAGGGAAACTCAACACCTCCCTTGTGATCCCCCCAGAGTTTTTCTATTTCAAATATTTGTACTATATTTTCTTTATCTAACACAGCATCCGTTACTGTTCCTCCAACCCTAACTGACTCACTGGCAAAACTGAATCTGTTCTTTCTTTTTCATGTAATTGTCTATAAAAATCTAAAGATCACCCAAAATATTTTTCCTACATGTTAACACCATGGCCTTCAGTATGAGGCATTAAAAGGAGATCTAAAGATCTTCTGTTTTATAAAAACAACTAAAACATTTGAATGAGTTAATAAAGGGTCCTGGTGAACCTTTCCAGAGCTTTTCCCGAGATGGCTTCTCATCTCAAGAACATTAGGGAAGATATGATGAAAAGAACAGGAATGGTCTAGGTGACCTTCTCTGTTTCCCACTGGATTTTTGTTGTTATAACTTGGACATGATTTCTAGAAACTGCTTCTTTTCTGCTTTCAAACTGCCATCTGGGAAGAGAACGAATTTATAAAATGGAACAGAAATCCAGAGAAAAGGCTGGAAGGATGCAAGTATTTAATTTACTATATACCTATTAGAATTAATTGCTCCTCCCCCAACCTGCCAAAAACAACCGCTCCACCCTAAACAAACAGAGTCTCCTATGGCAACATGAGCCTGGGAAGCCTGACAGCTTGAGTCCAGGGTTACAATGGAAAAAAATAGGAAGGGAAAAATGACTAATTGATCCAATGTTTTGAAACTATCTAAAGACTGGATGTAGATGGGGAGATCTAAGTCTTGATCATTGAAAGGTGTGGGACTCAGGATGTTACTGCCCCAAGGGGACCTTTCCCAAGCGAGGGTTTGAGACTTAGTTTCCCTGCACAATGTGCCCATGGATGAATTCCTCACTACCCAGTGTCCTCATTTGTCCTGTAATAGAAGGAAATGAAGCTTTTGCATTTCCTCAGAAGGCACCTTGATATTTTTATCATTATGAAAAAAGAAAACTGTAATTCTTATTAGTGACATTTTAATAATTTACAGAATACAATGGTCATCACAGAACGTTCATCACCATGAAAATTCTTTATGTTCAATTCCAGGGAGGTAATTTGCATTGGACTATTTACCTTATTGTTAAATGAGTCTCCTCCAACATGCAACCACACACCCCCACAACCCCACATGCACTTATGAATGATTTATCTCTGAACCAAGAATCAAGCTTCTCAGAATTATACCTAAAGTGAATACCTAAACCTAAATTAGTTGCTCTTCTGACTTAGGAACTCGAACATAGCTATCTTAGTTGCTGTATGTGATAAAATACTAAGAGGAATGGCTGTGCTACTTAAAGCCCAGCTATCTAACTTAGAAAGTGTCTCAGAAGCAAATGTCTTTTCTACTTTGTGCTACAGAATCTGGCTGTTTTCTGTTTAATGCTGTTCTGGGGAGTCAGCCATAGAGATGGTGGCTCTGTCTTATACCTATCAATGTGGTCATCCATTTACCCTCAAAATTCTTTATTCCACATCTACATGTGCCAGGCATTATTTTTTTTATAAATATATTTTTTACATTATTCTTCATTTTGTGCATTTTCTCATCGTGGTTGCAATCCCTGCGAACTTACCACCACCACTTTACCCATGTACCATCACCATGTGCTCTTCCCACTCCCATTTTGATCTTGTTCCCCTCTCTTCCCCCATAGAATGTCTCTGGTTTATAGTTGTTCGTTGATGTTTTTTTTTACTTTATTACAATTACTATGTATATGTAATTTTATTTTTTTGCCTGATCCCTTACACTCTTGCTATGAGTGAAATTACATGGTGTTTTTCTCTTTCTTTCTGGCTTATTTCACTAAGCATGATCTTTTCCAGTTCCAACCATATTGCTGCAAATGGCATGAGTTTATTTTTTGATTGCTAAGTAATATTCCATTGTGCATATTAATTACCGCATCTTCTTGATCCATTCATCTATTTTTGGGCACTTGGGTTGATTCCATATCTTCCCTATTGTAAATAGGGCAGCAATAAACATAGGAGTGTTATGTCCTTTTGAATTACTGTTTTTGTGTACTTTGGGTAGATACCTAGGAGTGGAATTGCTGTATCATATGGAAGCTCTATTTTTAGCAGTTTGAGAAACCTCCACAGAGCTTTCCATAGTGGTTGTACCAGTTTGCATTCCAACCAGCAATGTAGGAGAGTTCCTTTTTCTTTCCAACATTGTTTTGTTTTGTTTTGTTTAAATATCTGCTATTCTTACTGGTGTGAGATAGTATCTCATTGTGGCTTTGATTCACATTTCCCTTATTACAAGTGATGGTGAACATTTTTTCATGTGCCTGTTGTCCATCTGCATTTCCTCTTTGGAGAAGTGTCTTTGTAGCTCTTCTGCCCATTTTTTGATGGGGTTGTTCATTTTATATTTATTGAGTTTCATCAGCTCTTTGTATTATGTGTGAAAATTTTCTCCGAATCAGTGGGATGTCTGTTTGTTTTATGTAGTGTCTCTTTTGCTGTACAGAAGTTCTTCAATTTTAGTAGTCCCAGCTGTTTATCCATTCTTTCACTATTCTTGCTTTGGGTGATGCATTGTTAAAGATGTTACTGAGGCGTATATCATGTAGTGTTTCACCAATATTTTCTTCTATATATTTTATGGTTTCAGGTCTTATGTCTAGTTAATCCATGTTGAGTTGATTTTTTCGTATGTTGTGAGGTAGTAATCTAGGCATTATTTTTAAGAGCTTCAATAGAAATTAACTTAAATAGAATTAGTGTGCAAAAGAGAGGGAGAAAAGAGAAAGGAGATAGTTTCCCAATGGAAAAAAGAAAAGGCGATTTAATGAAATACACTGCTGAGAGGAGCAGTGGGCAATGGGGGTGGGTCATCTGAGTACATGTCTTTGTTCTGGGGACAGAGTGATAAAACATAGCTCCAAACCCCCAAGAGAACTCACAATAAGTAATCACTGCTCCCTTAGTGTGATACATCCAGATGCTATAGAGAAGCTTAGTAGTGGGCAATGCAGAAGGGAGGAGAAGCTGTGAAAGCTGTCCATGGGGAATGAGGCTCTAAAATACAGAGATGTGGGCCCTCCCAGGTGGCACAACTGGTTAAAGTGCAGTTTATGAAGCTCTCTGCAGCCACTGCAGCACGAGTTCCATCCCCAGTCAGGAAGGTGACACACATGGCTCAGAAGACCTCTCCTTTCTGGTTGGCTGCTCCCCTTAGTAGTGTATTTCAGTTGGCCTATTCTGCTCCCCACTCTGTCTCTCTGTCCCTGGTGAATCCTCTCACCTCTCTCGCCTGCACCTCTGGCCTGTATGCATAAATAAATAAATTTTAAAAAATAAATAAAATACAGAAATGTGGGAGGTACCAGACTGTCTATCACAGGGTCCACCCTTGGGAAATGCAACATAAACTTTGACTGGTGGGTTGATAATTCCTGTCTT